AAAAAAAAGCAAAAACAACTCAAATGCATACTAGCTGGTAAGTGCTGTAACAAAATTAGGTATATCCTCTCAATGGGGTCAGGCATTAGAGAGCATAGGGTACTAATTAATGCTCCAACATGGACAATCTCTGATAACATTATGGTAAATGTATATCTTTTTAAAATATCATAAAATATCACAGAAAAAAAATGTTCTGACATAATTCTACCTATAAGGTACGTATAGGCTGGAGTGATGGCTCAGCAGTTAAGTGCACTGTCTGTTCTTTCAGGGGTCCTGAGTTCAATCTCCATCAACCACATGGTGGCTCACAGCCATCTGTAATGGGATCTAATGCTCTCTTCTGGCATGTACATGCAGACAGAGCACTCATTCATAAAATAAATAAATCTTAAAAAAAATTGAAGAAAAGATATGTATAAAAGCAGGCAATTGCAGAGACAGAAAACAAAATGGTTATTAGGTGCTCAGGAGTGGTAGGAATGGGAGCTGCTGGTATAGGGTTTATTTTGGGGGTGGTGAAAATATTTTAAAATTAGTGTTAATACTGGCACAACTTTGTAAATATACTAAAATCTAAACCGTATACTTATTATGTCAATAAAACTTACTTTTAATTACATGACATCATAATATCATTTCTTGTTATTCCTTAGTACTATATTAAATTAATCGCATAGGCACAAAAGAAGAAGAAGTCATATCTTTTTAAATTTTTCAACATTAAACCTTAGAAAACGCTAGTCATAAATAAGCCGAGAAGAGAACAGAGTGGAATGCTATACCTTGCCACATTGCTTGTAGGGAATTCCCTTGAGGTCACAGTACTCATAGATGAGGGCTGAGCCTTCTACACACAATTTAGCTTTCAGAGATTCCGGTTTATAGTAAATTCCACTATGTATAACACCACTGTTCCGTCCAGTCTGGTGAAGAGCTATGAAACAAGAGAGATTAAAAAAAAAAAAAGTAAATGACTCACACAAAACCTAGGAGGTGAAGAACAATTATACACGAAGCTATCAGAGTCCACATCATCGAAAAATTCTGCCTGAAGCAGCTATCCTGCCATCCATGCTAAATCATCCATGCTTGACTTCACCTTAAGCTTTGTTTTAACACCACTGACTTCACCAAGCCACTTTAAAGGCCTGCTGAGGCTCTCTGCACATGCTCAAAGGCCTTTTCTGTCTCTCTGGAGGAAAGTGGAGCTGTTAGCATCGGTAGGGACAATCCTAGAAGCTGACTGGATGAATGACCACAAACCTGGGGAGCACTCTGCTGCTAGGGGTCCCAGTGTACTCAAGCCTCCAGCCGCAGGAGTTGTACCCTCCTATGGTTTTATTCTCCTCACTCCCTCCCTTCTTCCTACCATCTCATATAATCTCTCAAATAAACCACCTCCTCTCAAGCCCTTGTCCCAGACTTTGCTTTCAAAAGACACTAACATCCACATTTTTCATAATATTGATAAGCAGGTTCCCATCAAGCTGAGGGTATACATACCTAAATCTTTCTCCTTTTCCACCACAACAATTGAAAGTCCAGGATGTTTCAGGATGAGCGTTCTGGCAGAGGCAAGCCCCACAATTCCACCTCCAACAATGACTATATCAAATGAGCTTTAAGAGAAAGCAAGCTTTAAGAACTTATGTTTAGGGGCTGGAGAGATGGCTCAGTGGTTAGGAGGACTGGCTGCTCTTCCAGAGATCCCAAGTTTAATTTCCAGCAACCAACCACATAGTGGCTCGAAACCATCTGTGATAGGATAGGATTCCCCCTTCTGATGTGCATGAAGACAGAGCATCCACATACATAAAATACATGAATAAATAAATTTTTAAAAAGAATTTATGTTTATAGATCTTACCAAATTTCACTTGCAAAATTTTCATTAGTGAGCAATTAAAGTATTAATTTATAACATATCATTTATGTATTATATAATGCATATCTCATTATATAGCACATATCATTTATATTACCTATATATCATATATAGCAATCAGGCTCTTTACCCTCCCAGACAGAATTAGATACTGAAGTTCTGCTGGGACTATAGTCTCTGGCATTTGAACCTTCTTCAGCTTCCTTCTGACCATGATAGAGCATTTACCATAGGCTTCTGGGTGGCAGGGATGGAGTTAGGGGATCTGTGGATGGAAGTGAACCAAGGTGTGGTAAAGATGAAAGCCCACTACATGGGACAAATAGTAGATGACTCTACCAGAAGATAGGCTATAGCCAAGGTTTTGTCTCCAGAGATACTGTCAGAGGCCCATAGACCTTAGCACAACCAACACCATGTTGTAGCCACCATTCTAAGCTTGGAACCTAGCATGGAGGCCCCCAAACCTGACAAAATGGGAACAAATCCATCAAAGACCTAGTCCATAGGTATAGGATCCAGGGAAGTCCCTAAACCTTGCATTTTGGCTGGTATCACTGCTGACTATTACAGCAGCCAGCACTTGGCAGATACTGTTCATTCATGTTACTACCAAGGGCAGCCAGTGTCTGGCAGAGCTGTGAGTAGCTGCCAGGGTTCATCTTTGGTGAGCCTCAAGAGTTAACTAATAGCTGGGTCCTGGCATCTTGGTGGGCACTTGTGTCTAGGTCCACAATGGAACATTCTATGCCCAAACTGAGATTATACAAAATATGATTAAACTGTATAGAGCTATACACAGAACACATAGAATGCATGTAAAGTTGATAAAACCTAACACGTGTGCATTGAATCAATGTTAATTTTCTGGCGTTGCTGTTGTATTACGCTAACACTAGGGCAATGGTGGGACAGGAGGAAGGTGACATAAAACCATTCTATGATTTCTGCAACTTTCTAAGGGTCTACAATTGTTTCAAGATAATCAGTATTTTTAAAATTGGGATAGGAAAATGGTTAATGGGTAAAGTGCTTGCTGTACACATGAGGACCTGAGTTTGTATCCAAAGCGCCTTTATGTAGAGGCATTGCTCAACCTATGTAACCTTTGGGTCCCTCGTGCTTGCTGGCCAACCAATCACCTTAAGAGACCCTATCTTCCCCTAGAGGCAGTAGTGGTACACACCTTTAATCCCAGCACTATGGAGGCAGACACAGGAAGATTTCTGAGTTCAAGGCTAGCCTGGTCGACAGGACAGCCAGGATACAAAGAGAGATCCTTAGTGGAAAAACGGAAACACACACACACACACACACACACAGAGTACAGAACAGAGCGGTGGACAGGGAGAGAGAGGAAGATTGGGAAAGACCCAGTCTCAAAAGTTTAGGTGGAGCAGGTGGGGTGGCACGTGCTTTTAATTCCAGCACTTGGAAAGGAGGGGTAGGTTGATCGCTTGGGGCATTGGAGGCCAGCCTGATCTACAAGGGGAGTTACAGGACAGCCAAAGAAAAACCACTACCATTTAACATGACCCTTAGACTAAAATTTGATGTGCAGCTTAAACAAAAACACTGCCCCTCTCCAGTCTTTCCACGCATGTCTGCCACTAAATCCATTAGCATGGCCCATCTTGTCTTAAACAACCAAAAGCTTTCTCCCCTTAAAGCTTTCCACACAGGACACTCCAGTGGCCGGCTTTCCAGGGCAGTTCACGGTAGGCAACTGAGTTGTTTCTTCTGAGGACAACTCTAGTGTGTGCAAGGAACTGACCCACTGAAGCCAAGTTCTGGATTTTCCAAGCAACATACACGGGTGCTAGCTAAGAAGCAGCATACTTATTTGAAGTGTGCTCGGTCTTTTAATCTTCAAAATGACCACCTAGGGGCCAGACTAAGATCCTATTCAACATTCACCCTTTAGAGTGGTTAAGAAATAGAGAGGAGGTGTGTATTCAGAGCCAGATTGGCTCCTGACCTCTACTCAACACTGCGTTTCCTATGGCCCACAAACGCTGTGGACGAACCCTGCAGGTTAGCAGCTCCTGGAATTCGAGGATGGACCACAGAACCAGGACTTCCTCGCCAGGGACAGAGACATCGAGTCGGGGCCCAGGTTCAGTTGGAGATACCTGAGGAGAGCAGCAAGTGCAGGCCTCCGCCTCTCACTTACCTGGTGCTAGAGCTGCGGCCACCCCCGCACAGTAGCCCGGGCACCCCAGACGCCGGCCCGCTAACGCGGAGGAAGCCCCCAGCAAGGCAGCAACGGGCCGGTCCGCAGACACCGCCCACGTAACGCAGGGTGGGCCACATGGCCTGCGCCACCGCCCCTCCCTCAACCTCAGCAGCCCCAGCCTGAACCGACTCAAGGGTGAAGCGCGCCGCTCTCCAGCCCCGCCCCCAAGCAAGGGCCAATCAACCGCGCGCTTTAGCACGTGTGGGCGTGGCCTCTGCTGGCCAATGGGCGAGCGCGGTGGAGGGACAAGGCAGAGGGCGAAGGGCTGGCCAGACGCAGGTACGCCGCACGCTACGCCGTGAGTAGAGGAGCGAGGGCAAAGGCGGGGACCGGGTGGTGGTTCCACTCTCCCGGGTCTCGGCCAGCACAGGCCTGACTAGACGCCAGCGCTGTTCCGCCAGAGAAGGTCTGTCGTGGCAGGATGACCTCTGGCTCCCGCGGCCTCTCCTTCGGCCACGCCTCCTGGTCGGTTGGCGACGCTGTGGCCCGGCAGCCAGGGGCTAAGCCACCTCCTGCCGCACCCTGTCACTACCGGGCTGATTGCCCGCAGTTTTCGGGGCCTTCCGTGGGGCTCCCGGTTGGTATCGTTCATCCAACCACTGACTCGGCTTGTAAATATCGGGCGCCGAGCTAGGCACTGGATGAAAGTAGACAGCTCGGTCCCTGTCATCATTTAGTGGTTTGTTTTTTATTATTGACTTATGTATGTGTATGTGCCTATATGAACTTATTGCAACAGGTGTATGCAGGAGTTCATAGAAACCAGAAAAGGGAGTAAAGGATCTATCCCCTGGAACTGGAAGTTTTTGAGCAGCTGTCAGCCGCCATGTGGGTGCTGGGAATATAGGTCCTCAGGTAAGACCAGTTAGCAGTCTTAACCATGGAGCCATCTCTCTAGCCCCAAACTTTTATTTTCTTTCTTTTAAAACTTTTTTATTAATTAATTTACTTTACATTCCTACCGCCGTTACCCCTTCTTTTTCTCAGTCCTTCCTGACCAAGCCAGCTAGCTCAGTCAAGGGGTTCTCCAGGGAGAGATCAAGGGTAGAAAAACAAACAAACAAACAAACAAAAACAATTAGACAGCACTATTATCATGACCCTAGCCAGTTCTGAAGCTGAAGCAAGTTTATTTTTCTCTAGTCTGCTTTTATACCATTCTAAGTACCTGCAAAGAATAAGGTCAGTCCTAAGGCATAAACAGAGTAGTTTAGGAACAAACAAAGGTCCCATGATTACTACTTAACAAACCCATCAAGATACAAAGAACAGATTCCTATGCTGTATTCATCTTGAGCCTACTTCCTGGCCCAATGTCAAATTCTTGCCAAATTTCCAGAAGCGACCCCAAAAAGCACTCCACACCTTCTTCTCACTCTCAACCCCACCCCCACCCCATCCACTCATCTCTTAGGAAAGGGGGAGGCCTCCCTTGGATATCAACCAGCCGTGAAGTTGCATAAGACTAGACACATTCCCTCCTATTGAAGCTAGACAAAGCAGCCCAGTAGGAGGAAAGGGTCCCAGAGGCAGGCATCAGAGTCAGAGACTCTGCTCCTGCTCCCACTTGAAAACCAAGCTATACAACTGTAACATGTGCAGGGGGGTCAGTCCCATGCGGGCTTCCTGGCCCAACCTTTCCTTACCACTGGACTAAGAGTCTGTTTTAAATGTCCATGCCTCAGGATAGATACTCACAGGGCAGGGCACTTTACTCTGTTTCCTCTACTGTAAAAATGAGAGCTATGTAATCACTTAAAAGACCTTATAACTAACTCTGTAAAGCTCTGTGATTCTCTGTCACCGTACCAATGTATTCTGTGCTTGATTGTAGTTCATCTTTAAGGTTAGAACAGCTTGACAGGACTACTGTTGGAGGAACTTGCTGGTTTGAATGTTGGTTCCAGCCAGTAGGTGGCTCAGGCTCATCCTATCATCTCCACCTCAAGACACTCTGGAGTGCCCCTGAGCTGATAGTAGTGCATGTGGCAAGATTCATCAGATGTGGAGCTCGGCAAAGCATTAGCTTTTTATTATGCTTGATTGATGTATTTCATGAGCAGTACTAGATAATTTTGTTTCATTGGCAGGGAAGAAACAGTGTCTCCTGTTTATTCATTCCATCACACATAAATAGAATGGGTGGTTGTATCTTAAATTCAGTGTGTTATAGTAATTGTGGGTTCTCATATAGTTGTGAGAAACAATAAAGACCCCAGTGTCCTAGTTTGCTTTTGATGTGATAAGTAACATGACCAAAAGCAACTCAGAAGGAAAGGGTTATTGTGAAGGGAAGTCAGAGTGGGAACTGAAGTAGAGGCCATGGAAGAGTGCTGCTTACTGCTTGCCCAGTTTGTTTTCTTGTATACCTCAAGATCACTTACCCAGGGATGGCATCACCCACAGAGTGCTTAGCCCTTCCACACTGAATCATCAATCAAGAAAATGTCCCACAGTCTTACCTCCCATATGGAAGAGTTTTCTCTATTAAAATTCCATCTTCCCAGATGATTCTAGGTATTGTCAATTTGACCAAAACCGAATACAGTTGACACCTTGTTAACCAGACCCAAGCACATCACTGTTAAACCATAAACTTCCCCTTGTTTGTTCTCAACATGCCATGTTACCATTAATATCACTAATATTAATATATAAAACATAGTATAACCTTTGAGAATTTAATGCTGCCCCTGACTCCTGCTAATCCAAGACTCAGATCTATCACATTGACTTAATTGAGCATCAGTGTCTGGCACAAGAAGCAGCAACAGCAAAGCTCCTGAATGTGCCAGTGCCACTCCCACCATTTTCAGTTCTGTGGGATTATTGAAAGGCACGCCTCCAGACCCTCCCAGTGTGCAGAATTGGTTTTTACATGTACCCATTCCAGTTTGCCTGAGCCTTAAAACCCCTTCATCAGCACCAAGCCAGGGAATGTTAGAGTCCAGATGGTAGGCCAGCTTTTGACATGTTCTCCTGCCAACCAATCAAACTTTTGACTTTTATTTTTTAGCTCAGTGAGCTTCCATATTAAATAAACCTAGAATATTCACTCGATGGCTCCATATCTACAAATTCAGCCTGCTCTAGTTTTATGTTCCTTCCACCATTATTCCATATTTCAAAACCCATTCCCACATATTTCCCCCATGTGACACAAGTAGTTGATTGAAAGTGGTCATGCAAAGCAAGTTTAAAAGTTGCTGAAACCTGTTTTTGTAAGTTTATCTGTTTCAGGGTCAAGTGAGCCAGCAAGGTAAACTTAAGTCTGTGTCTACCTTTCTCAGCTGGAGACCTAGTAGCTCTAGAAAGGTGGGGCCTTATATTACATATGAAATGAAATGACCAGGCAGCTGCAGTCTTGTTGGGAGGAGCCAGTTTGCTTGTAGCTGGTAACTGACAAAGCTACAGTTAGCCATCAATACCATTAGAGATCTGAAAAGGATAAATTATACCAGGAAGTATAAACCAAATGGTCTCTGTATCAGTTAAAATGACAGAGACTTACTGCTACCTAAACTGTTACCCTAGTTCTTGGGGTTGATGTCTTCATTGAGGGGCAGGAGTTAAAGGTCTTTGGCTGTCATACAGGATAGCATTATATCTTCAGCTGCAACACAGGACAGTCTCGCCTTTGGCTGCCAGACCCAGGTCTGAGAGGTTTTCCCTCTGAATGACAAACTTGGGAAAACTGACCAACTTTGACAAGAGTAGGGCTCTCCATCCAACAGTGTCCACAGTTTGTCCAGACCCTGGCTGCAAGTGAGGCATGGGGCAGCTCTTTGCCAGGTGGTTAGTATTTACCACAATCCATGTGGAGTTGTATGTGCTCCTTGTATGAGACCTTAGGGTTGCCGTGAGGAGCTGGCATTTCTGTCTATCATAGGAAGGTTTTTCATTAAACATTTTAAATGCCAATCAGCAGATTGGAGTTTGAGGCCCATTATTTATTAAGTATACATGATTTTATGCAGAAGACTAAGTAAAGCTTACAAATGATTTACATTAGTACTTCGCATGACTATGAGTATAGTCCTGAGCACGTTAAAGAATTTGATTTTTCTTAGTGGTGTCTGAGCATTAATTTGCATGTCTTAATCCTCTTTAACAGTTTACAAGTTAATCAATTTTATAAGATTAGGATTTTACAGATTTATTCCTGTTAAATTTGAGCCTTAAAGTTTAAATTGGAGATTTTATTGAAGACCCTTTAGCATCAACATAAAACTTTAAACCATAAACAGCAAAGTTTAAACCATAAATATAGTCCACAGGGAGACTGGGAACTTCCCTGATCCTTTTTATAGTGCACCATTACAGAATATCAGGTTTTGTCTTTTAATGACTTGAGTTTATCTAAGTAGCTAAAGCCTAGCAAAGTTATCAAAGACAAAAAGGCTAGATAAACGTCTTCAAATCAGTTACTGTTAAACTGAGTAGGCCTTAGGAATTTATAAATCTTATTTATCAAACACCTCATTCATCAAACATATGCTACTAATCTAAACATTTTTAGAAGTCGCCTGTTGAACAGTTTGTAAAGACATAAGTAGTTAGACATGGGTCTTTAGGTCATCTTTTGTTAGTCTGAGTAGACCTTTATAACCTTAGGAATTTATAAACCTTATTTATCAAATATACCTTATTCATTAGATATATGTTGTTCCTTATTTAAAAATTTCCAGAAGCCTAATGTTGAGCACAGGCCAAAAGCCTCTTACCCTTAAGCCTTTTCTACTTCCCACATTTGAACATCTCTTGTCTCTATGTACTTGTAACATATGAAAGCTCACTGTACTCCTTCTCATGCAGCCTTTACTTACTATCTTACTATTCTATGAGGAGGGGGAACATTCTATTCTTTTTTTTTTTTTTTTTTGATTTTTGAGACAGGGTTTCTCTGTGTAGCTCTGGCTGTCCTGGAACTCACTCTGTAGACCAGGCTGGCCTTGAACTCAGAAATCCACTTGCCTCTGCCTCCCAAGTGCTGGGATTAAAGGTGTGCGCCACCACCGCCCGGCAGAACATTCTATTCTTGATTCTAACTTCATTATATTTCTGGCAAAACAAAAAAACCTCTTCTTAAACTTTCTATCAACTATTCTAACTTCCTAAAATTGTTTGAGTCAAATCAGGAATTCTATAAAATCATTAATTCATCTAAACAACTTTATTTCACGAAAGTTCCATCTTCATGTTGATATGCAGGAAATTTTGCCCAATATAGTTAGTAGTATAATCCCCAGGAATCAATCATGACAGACTATAGGCAGAAT